GCTGCCTTACATTTCATTTCCCTTTTAGCGTGGTTTTCTAAAGAATTGGTTCCTCAGGGTGAAACTGTATGTGTTTTAGCTTCAGGGAGAGAAAGATTTTGGCATCCTAATATAATGTTTCTCTAACATTTTGCTCTCCAGCATTCCTTAATAGAGCAAAATAGCCTGAACTTAAAGGGAAAACCCAAACCTGAGAAAAGTTCTGGGATCAGACTGCTAGCAAGATGCAAACTCACACTGAAAACATGCAAATGCAGAAAACAACCATCCAGCATGTGGTCAGGTCATCAGGAAGGCGAGGCATCAGTGTTTTATGAGGAACAGGCTAAGGGGCGGGGGGGAGGGCAGAGATAAGTCAATTCTGCTCATATCAGTATGATATGAAATACTTTTTTTTTAATTTAAGAAAGAGAAAGAGAATGCATGCTCCTGTCCACTGGTTGATTCCCCAAATGTCCAAATTTCTGGCCAGGGCTAGGCCAATCCAAGGATAGGAGCCTCCTGAAACTCAATCTAGATCTCCCATAAAACCCAACTATTTAAGCCATCACCTGCTGCCTTCCAGGGTACCATTTGTAGGGACCTAGAGTCTGGAACTGGAAACAGGATTCAAATTCCAGTTCTCCACTGTGGTATGTGAGCAAATGCATGTCCTTTTCTGACTAATTTTTATTAAGTGATGGTAGCTGAAGAGGGACATCAAAAATGAGTGAAAATCTGTAAAAAAAAAATTGCAGTGCTAGATTTTCTCATGTTCAAGCTAGGAAATCATAACTTAAAGAATTACTGGGGCCAGCACCGTGGCTCACTAGGCTAATCCTCCACCTGCAATGCCGGCACCCCGGGTTCTAGTCCCGGCTGGGGCACCGGATTCTGTCCCGGTTGCTCCTCTTCCAGTCCAGCTTTCTGCTGTGGCCTGGGAGTGCAGTGGAGGGTGTCCCAGCCCCTTGGGCCCTGCAGCCACATGAGAGACCAGGAAGAGGCACCTAGCTCCTGGTTTCATATCAGCGCAGCGCACTGGCCACAATGCACTGGTCATAGCGGCCACTTGGGGAGTGAACCAACGGAAAAAGGAAGGCCTTTCTCTCTCTCTCTCTCTCTCTCTCTCTCTAACTCTGCCTGTGGACAAATCGACTATATCTACCGACACCACGTTTAGTGGGCCACCAGGACCTGAAGTAGATGCTGTACTTCATGATGGAGGAACTAGAGTTAGATGAGGAAAATGTGGCCTGCGCTGTGGCTCACTTCGCCTGCGGTGCCAGCACTCTGGGTTCTAGTCCCGGTTGGGGCACCAGGTACTAGTCCCTGTTGTTCCTCTTCCACTCCAGCTCTCAGCTGTGGCACGGGAGGGCAGTGGAGGATGGCCCAAGTGCTTGGGTCCCTGCGCCCACATGAGAGACCGGGAGGAAGCACCTGGCTCCTGGCTTCAGATCAGTGCGCAGCACCAGCCGTGGCGGCCATCAGGGGAGTGAACCAATGGAAGGAAGACCTTTCTCTCTGTCTCTATCTCACTGTCTATAACTCTCTCTCTGTCTGTCTCTCTCTCACTGTCTAACTCTGCCTGTCAAAAAATAAAAAAAAGAAAAGAAAAATGTAAGAGCTGGCTCTGTGGCTTAGCTGGTAAAGCCACCACCTGTAGTGCAAACATCCCAAATGGGCACTGGTTTGAATTCGGGCTGCTCTACTTCCAATCAAGCTCTCTGCTATGGCCGGGGGGAAGCAGACAAAGATGGACCAAGTCCTTGGGCCCCTGAACCCACATGGAAGACCAGGAGTAAGATCCTGGCTCCTGGCTCCATATGGGCCCAGCTCCAGCCACTGCAGCCATCTGGGGAGTGAACCAGTGGATGGAAGACATCGCTCACTCTCTCTCTTTCTCTCTCTCTCTGCCTCTCTGTAACTCTGCCTTTCAATGAAATGAATCTTTAAAAAAAAAAAAAAAAGGGCCGGCGATGTGGCGCAGTAGGTTAATGCCCTGGCCTGAAGTGTCGGCATCCCATATGGGTCCTGGTTCAAGACTTGGCTGCTCCACTTCCTATCCAGCTCTCTGCTATGGCCTGGGAAAGCAGTAGAAGATGGCCCAATCACATAATGATTGAGTGTCGAATATAATGCACATAGGAATTTATTTACTTTTTTTTTTTTTTTGACAGGCAGATTTAGACAGTGAGAGAGAGACAGAGAGAAAGGTCTTCCTTCCATTGGTTCACCCCCCAAATGGCTGCTGCAGCCGGTGTGCTGCACCATGCCTATCCAAAGCCAGGAGCCAGGTACTTCCTCCTGGTCTCCCATGCAGGTGCAGGGCCCAAGCACTTGGGCCATCCTCCATTGCACTCCCGGGCCACAGCAGAGAGCTGGACTGGAAGAGGAGCAACCGGGACAGAATCCAGCGCCCTGACCGGGACTAGAACCCTGGGTGCCAGCGCCGCAGGTGGAGGATTAGCCTAGTGAGCTGCGGCCCCGGCCAATATTTACTATATTAATCCCTGTCAAAAAGGAGTAAGTAGAACACAAGTTATAGGACTATAGTACTATCTGTTAAACACATTTGTTATTTCATTAAGTCCTAAAAGTATATCTGCAAGATAGGCACCACCCCCTTTTTAATAGGATAAAAGACTAAGAAAAGTTCAAAATTTGCCCAATGTGACAATGAACACAAAGGTTAAAGAAGCCTTGTTATTATCTATGACACCAAACTCACAGAGTAAGAGTAAGAGGAGCAGGGGTTGAATGCCATCCACCTGACACACAAATAGTTGAAACGAGGAGATGAAATCCTTAAAACACTTAGGCACCAAATTAAACTAAATATGAAAATATATTTAGGACTTTCATGCAAGATGCAAAGACCAAAAAATATACAGGATATCTATATATATGGAGAAGGTGTGTGAAGAACCTACACCAAAGCCAGCTTCATGGGCATGCAACTTATGCAGTAGCCCTGGCCATCTTCAGAAGGGCCCTGTGCTTATTTAATGTTCTCTTTCACCACCTTAAAATTCTGAGTAATTTTATCTTTTTTTAAAGATTTATTTATTTTATTTGAAAGTCAGAGTTAGAGAGAGAGAGGGAGAGACCTTCCATCCTCTGGTTCACTTCCCAGAAAGCCATGATGGCTGGGGCTGAGCCAAACAAAAGCCAGGAGTCAGGAACTTCATCTGGGTCTCCCACATGGGTGACAAGGATGCAAGCACTTGTGCCATCTTTGCTGCTTTTCCCAGGCCATTAGCAAGATTGCAAGTGGAGCAGCTGGGATGCAAACCACCATCCACATGGGATACTGCTATCACAAGTGGCGGCTTTAACTACTATGCCACAACACGGGCCCCTGTCTCTAAACTTACATGTTGTAAGTAAAATCCACTGGAACAACCAAGCAAGTACATGGCCAGAGCAGATAGGTGCATGCCATTCCTTGCCATGTCATTCATAGAGTTCAGATGTCCCATGAGCACAGAAATCCAATGAATCCAGAATGCATGAAAGTTGATCAAAATTCAAAGCAAGCATGCAATAAGAGTGCTACACTGATAACTGAGTGGGCATAGGCACTGACACCCCCTGCAAATCGTGCTTTCCATTTAAAGCAAAAGTTGATTCAAGTGGAGAAAGCAGGCAATCTTGCTTATAAATCAAATAATCAAGGAACGCTAATTTGCTTTCTTATTAATGTTACTCCCTAGATTAGCCAACATCTTATGCTGGAAACGATGACATAGAAGGAAAGTGAATACTAGAGCACCATAGCTCCTTTGTCTTTCAGTCCTTCTTTACTCATCAGCCAACCAAAACTTGAAGTATTGGCAGAATATGTACATGACAAGAAGTAAAATAAAAATAGTTAAGTTACTATATGCAGTGTTTTCACTTTTCTCGGAAGAACGAAATGCATGTTTGTATATGAGCTGCATAATATAAATTATATAATATTGATAATTCCAGAGTATGAGTTAAATGTTCTCATATCTTGCATTTAAAACTCATAGTACATAATATGAAGATGAATGAGGAAATGCCATGCTAATCATTTGAATTTTTCATTTCTTGCAATGTCACCAAATAGCAAATAAATTTAAAAAGAAAACATGACAAGTTAATAGAAGTACAGTAGGGAAGCCTTTTATCTTAGCATGTTTAGGGCATTTTGTTCTTACTTTCTGAATAATAGGTGCTTCATGTTAGGTAACTGACCCAGCCTTACAGCAATGCAGCACTGTCTTTAAATTCTGAGAAAGAAATACATGTACAGAAAGAGGATAGCCATTCAGGGTGCACCTATAAGAAACAGATGGTTCTACTTAAAGCAAAACTGTTTCAGTCCTGAGCCCTGTGCTTTAGCAAGTAGAACACACACATATTCACAGTAGCAAGAGTTCACTTATTTGTTTTCTTAGCCATGCCTGTAGGGATATACAAAACAAATAGCCTCTGAGATTTTGAATGCAAAGAACAAGTGCTTTATCATGGCAAAGGCCATTTAAAATTCATACACTGCTCAACAATGTGCAAGCCACCCCTTGCAGTCTAATGTCTTTCCTAAAGTTAATTAACGGACCTGCTATTTCTCTTCCATTATCTTAGTCATTGATGAAGATGTTAAATACATTTGTTCTTGGACTGACCCCTTGAAGATGAGCACCAGCAATGTCAATCCAAGCTAATGCAGCTAAGAAGTCCATTTTAAGCACAACACTCCAACAATATAAGCAATTACTTAACTGGAGTGTTTCTCCATTTGTTGAGTACCATGTCATGCAAAATGGAAAAGTCTTAGGAAGTCAAGATAAATTACAACTGATGTCTTCCCACAGTTACCATTCTAGCCCTTCACCCACCCCCACACTATCTATTAAGCCCACCTGCCTCATCTCAAAATGAAATTAGATCTGTTTGCTTCGGCTCTGAACAAAAAGAAATGAGTCTCACTGGTCTGACTTGTTTCAGTCTTGATTATAATTTGAAAAATAAAGTTAATGGAAGAAAACCTCTACCTTTGCCGAAGGGAGGGTGTTGAGGTGGAAACATCTGTACCACCTGATCACCTTTTGATCATTCTCCACTCTCCTTGGCTTCTTATGATTTCCCTTGGACATATGTGCTCTTATTCTTTGTTAACACGTCAGCACCAATGGAAAGTCCAGATATTTTCATGAATACCTGAGATAAACAGATTCTGTTTCCAAGATCACTTGGAACATCATTATCCTTCATTCACATAAGAAAGCAGCCATTCTTTGATATCTTCAGCATCTAAAATGTCAGGCACCTAGAACAAGGGAAATAATATATTCAGCTTCTCTTGGTCACTTCAGATTCTTTTTTATGGAACACCATATTTTTCAAAGTTATATTTACTATAGATACATTCCTGTGTTCTCTCTTTGTGAAATGGGTGGCATAGGGTAGAATTCTCTAGAGAAAGTAGAAGTAAAAATTATTTAAGAACAACCAGAATTAATAATTTCTTGAAGATTAAAACAGGATGCAGAGGTTGCTGCAGACCAAGTTCTTTTCTAAAGTTATCATTAGACTAATTTTTTAGAACTCTGAAAGAGGAAATAAAAATTAATATTAAAATTAATTAATAAAATTTCCAATACCTATTATATTTTAGTAATGTAATAAGCATTTGAATGGGAACTTGTACTAATTCATCTTTGACCAATATATTAAAGAATTCCCATTTTCATGATTCTATAAATATGGCAGTCATATTATCTTCTCTTTAAAAATCTTGTTTTCTGGCCAGCGCCACAGCTCAATAGGCTAATCCTCCACCTGTGGCACCAGCACACCAGGTTCTAGTCCCAATCAGGGCGCCAGGTTCTGTCCTGGTAGCCCCTCTTCCAGTCCAGCTCTCTGCTGTGGCTTGGGAGTGCAGTGGAGGATGGCCCAAGTGCTTGGGGTCTGCACCCCATGGCAGACCAGGAGAAGCACCTGGCTCCTGGCTTCGGATCAGCGCCATGTGCCGGCCACAGCGCGCTGACCGAGGCGGCCATTGGAGGGTGAACCAACAGCAAAAAGAAGACCTTTCTCTCTGTCTCTCTCTCACTGTCCACTCTGCCTGTCAAAAAAAAAAAAAAATCTTGTTTTCTACCACCTTTCCCTCCAAGATTTTTGTTTTAAATAGATCTGCCTTGCATTGGAAAAACTGTCCAGTTAAATAAAACAAAGAACTGTTGTTAAATTATACAATTGGCAAGCAAGAACACAGACACACTGCTGGTTGAACTCTTTTAAAATGCTTTATTTGTTCATATCAGTCATAGATGATCTTGGGGTATATGGTAACAATAACTAGTCATTTTTAGACCTGACAGATGAACTCCTGGACAAGAATTTAATAAAAGACTTGCTTTCTGCCTCGCAAAGCTTTTCACTATAAGCATAGCGATATCATCTTTCCATTGACTGTTATGAATAAGCTGAGAAAATGGCAGATTACTAAGATAGGATCCACATAGCTCCTGTGATAATGGCTCAAAATGAAATTAAACTTGTCAACAGTTGCCCCTTTCCCATCTACCAAAATCCCTAAATTTTTCTTTAGTTAGGTCATATTAAAAAGAACAATATAGAGGACAATATTTCAAACAGATAACTGACCAGATAGGAGCATCATCTCTCAGTTCTAATATTCTGTTGTACTAGTGGATTTCCTCTCTGGGATATTAGAGGAATATTTGTATGTACTCATCTTCTAAATAGAATAATGAGTTTCATGCTTGTTCAGACAAGAATAATCATTCGTAGAAAGAAAAAAAATAAACTGAGGGATCCCAGAACCCCACAAATGATATGCTTCTTCCTATAAACTGAATTCAAGGTACAAAAACCATCAAATTATTAACATCTTTTCTTGATACAAAAACAGCCTTCACATTTTTTAACTCCTTAAAAATCTAAATTCTTAAGCATCTTAAATTGTGGAGCATAAAATGGATATTCTAAGTACAGTAATTAATGGGACATCTTATGCCCTTTGTATCATACAAGTGTACTTCAAAATGCTCATAGGAAATAGTATTAGAGGACAAATTTATTTTGGCACAATTTTGAAATCCATGCATACCAAGAGTATTCAAAATGTTCAAGTAAAATGTGTAGTATGAAAAAATGCATTGATTTCAAAATATTTGTGTACCAAAATTAACTTATCTTTCAAAAATAATTATTTATTTATTTCCTTACTTGACGTATAGAGAGACAGAGATAGACAGACAAAGAGCTCCAATCTTCTGGGTTATTCTCCAAATTCCCACAACAGCCAGGACTGAACCCTGGGGAAAGGAATACTATCCCGGTCTCTCATGAATGTGGCAAGGATCCAATTAATTAAACCATCGCCACTGAATTCCTGGGTCTATATTAGCAGGAAATTGGAGTCAGGAGCCAAAGCTGGGCATCAAACCCAAGTACTAGGTACTTAAATGTGGGATGCAGACACCTTCATCTCTAGGTTTTAATTAAATAATTAAAAACCAAACAAACTCAGATTTTATTAAGCCACAATATTAATGGCACAGGGGTGTGTGGGGAAGGAAGAGGGGAAATTTTTCTATTTGCTCAGATTTGTATTTCTTGTAATGAAAGTTAACTCCTACAAAAACAACCCTGATCATCAGAGCAATACGAAACTACCTGCATATAGCCGTGAGTGCCAAGACTCAACAGGAGAAAGATTGGGAAGACTTCTTTAACTGCCTCTAGCCAACACAGCTCCCTAAATAGGATATTAATGACATTTGTAGTGACGGCTTTCTAAGGGCACACTATTTCAAGGCACACATTTATTTGACCCCTTAATCCAGAGGCTTTAAGTAAAATTGTTAAATTTTACTAACTTCTTACCAAGAAGGGGTACATACATTTTCTGAATTAAATATCTTTGTTATATAAATATTAAGCAAAGCTTTTTGATGATGGGACATTTGGATATACTCTGTTCTGGATGGATCTCTTTTTCCATTTTTCTCTTTCCCTTTTTCCCCTAACTTCACTTTGCATAGACAAACCTGCAAAGCACAGTGTTTTTTTCCAATAAAAATTCCTTATTTGGCTATGGTAGTCATAGCATGGAGGGAACACAATCCTTGGTTGAATTTTTCAAGGTTTCTGCCAATTACTGTCAAAAGCAGTGGTGACTTTTTGTGAGGTGGATGCTTATTCATTAGAAAGTGGCCTGAAACAATGAATTCCCTTCACATAAACCATTGAACTATCATGAGATGGTAACGACTTTCTGTCACTCCCAACCTAGGTCTAATCCAAACTCCTGACCTAGAGGTGTAAAGGCTTTGTTGCTCATTAGTGATTCCCCTGGAGCCATCAAGTGCCAAGTCTCTAGTCTCATGGCACTAAAGAGTAGTACCATACACCTTTGAGCATTAGTAATATTTTAATGGCAAATGTGATAGGATTTACTAAGCCAAAATACTTAAAAAATTAAACAGTCTTAGTAATTTCTATGTGAGGCTAAGAGGATCTTGTTAATATAATTTTAAATGTTTCATTGTCCTTGTTTTATTTCCTTAAAACTATTTCAGGAGCTCCTGGTAAGGACAACAGTCTAATTCAATAGGGCCAAAATGGATCCTTTCATTTAGTTTGGTATATAAAATGGCCTTTCCTGAACCAGGTACTGGTGCTAAACACTGGATTCAAAATAGTTTTATTTAAGTGATCAAGACAACTGAATTTTTCTTTTTTCTGAGTTTTTTAATAATCATTATATATTGGATTTAAACAAGAATGAAGAATAGAATCCTGTAACTCAGTTTTCTTAGCACTAAATTAATAAAAATTGGTAGTCAAAGGACTCTCAGCTAAGTATGATCAAAATTTCAAACCGTGGTAAACATTGGATGTCAGGTTATGGGACAATGCTTTAAAGCTTCAGTGAAAATAATTTAATTAGTTTTCTTTTTCTTTTAACATGTAAGCTTGAAACAGAACTTTTATGAAAAAATAGGTAGGTTTTCCAGACTGACTGTAATTTCAATTTCAGTTTTGAGGTCTATCAAAGCAAAGCATTATCAATTTCATGCTTCCTAATGTATCCATTATTTATGGTCCCATATAATAATGAAATATATATTTCTTTGTAAAAGTGATTTGCTTTAAGAGAGGGCAGACCAATTGAACTATTTACTAATTATAATGATACATTTAACTCAAACACTACATAATATACATAATGGAAGCATTAATCATCTTATCTGGAGGCAAGTATCTATTAATAATACTACTGCAGACCCTATTTTAAGTTTGTATTTGTTGAAAATATTTCATCAGAAAAATAAGTTGGATGGCAAAACGTGATTAAATGTGAATAATTTCTTATCTTTGGAGCTTATTTTTCCTTGAAAATTAGTTACTTTAAGCTCTAGTGACTTATGCAGCTTATAATTATTCAATTTTAATTGAATTAAATGACATAAGGAATATGTTCAAACAAATTAACATATCATAAATTTATGTTTAATAGCCAAGGAACAGCTCATGTTGGCATTCAATTTAAAGTTCTTATTAGCTTCTGAAGACAAATCTTCCTGAAAGTGAGAGACATCTTCACAATGATCTTCAGTCATCACAACTCCGTCAAAAGTAGCACTTTGTAAGTTGATATTCGCTTTGCTAACCCGACCCAAGTCAATATACACTCCAATTATAGTTGTATGAACCTGACAGCTTGTAGGTGCTTTCTGAAAGTTGTCTGCTTCATTGAGTAGCCAGGACAGACAAGCTGCCAGCTCTCAATTAATACCTGGGTTGATTTTTTTTATTTATCGTTTAAAGGAAATGGTGTTTATTTATCCTATCTACCAAAGTGTTGTGTAGTTTCTTGCACAGAGTAACCTTTTAAATTTTGAGTTTCATGTGTTTTCTTCTAGAATTTTAAAACTTTAGCCAGCAGCCAATTATTTTTACTTTGCAGTATGTTAAATTATTTTCTTACAGAGTCATAATCACAAAACAGTGCACTGTACTTACATTACACACTCAATTTGAAAAGTGTTTTTGCAATATTTTTTACCCTTGTGATAATACCTGAAATTAAATTAAAAAGATGATATTGTTATAATCCCTTAACCGGTAAAACATTTGAAATGCTATACTCTGAAGTAAATGATTTACCATTAATTAGTCACATAGTATTCATGGACTTTTTGATCATATATTGCTTTTAAAACAGCCATGCAATTATTTTTTAAATGAAAGCCAAGCCCTCTTCATGGAACAGAGAATTAATTTTCCATTTGATGT